GGAAGAGACGCAAGCATGATGATGAGTTGACCGAGTAACAAGGCAGACGCCACAATAACAGACCAGTTGTAGCTTCCTTGTTTTTCCAAACCTGAGTGATGTCATTGGTTGAGGAGATGCCGGGGACCAATAGATGATTGTGAGCCTGTACCTAACCGTCTTTCTTATGTTTGGACTGAAAAGCAATTGCGTCGCAGTTATTGATCCTTTAGCCTGGTTTATACAGTACACAGTAACTATATTGCAACCAAATGTGTCGAAAATAAAACACAAAACACAAAACACAAACCCTTGTGTAGAATATTCCTAGAATCATCCTCCTGGTTCTTAAGAAGCACGCACAAACACACATCTGTCTCTGGGGAATGTCCTGGTCCCTGTATCGGAGACTTAAGTGACTGTCTGCGCTGTGTGTATGTAACAGTTAGCCTGCAGCGGGGGCAAGCCAGCCAGACGGATGTAAACGGCCTGATCTGTAATCCTGTGTGTGAGTGGTGTTAGTGTGTAGGTGGCAGCGGGGTCATCTGTCAACTACCTCAGGCCAAACATGCACACGGCTACTTGTTGACTCTCCCTCAAACGCACACGCAAAAATGTACACATGGGCACACGCACGCACACATTTACAGATGTATACACACAGACACGCACACAGGCACAGACAGGCACTCTCAGGCTCAGCCAATATTTACCCTGCAGTCTGCAGCCAGACAGCCAATCCAATCTCTCACTAAGCTCTTTGTTGTGTGTTTGGGGTTAGGGGTGTTTTTTGTTTTTTGGGGGGGGGGGTTGTTTGTAGAGGTGTTTTTGATTTGGAATTAGTTTAGTTTTTTTTTTAAGTGTGTTATTAATGAATTCTAACATAGAAATTCAGGGACCTTGGGGAGGGGAGTGGCGAGGACAACCAAACAACAGCATTTAAAAAAAAAAAGACCCCCCCCACAAACAGATTTATTTTGCGATCACTGCTCCTGTAATTAATTTCACAGGGAATTTCTGCACTTGGTAAGTGTCTCTCAATGGGGACTTATTTAGTCTGCCACCTCTCCTGAGCTGAGGGGTGTAGCAGTAGAACAGCAGTGCTCAACTTGCAGGCGTTAAGAAAGAGCTCCCTGTCTTTTGGTACAGAGCTGGTGACGACGGGTCCCCAGACCCAGTTTTTACACCACAGAGCTGATCTCCAGACACACCGTGCAGACCTGAGAGTAACATTAGCTCACCTTCGGGCAAAGCCGCTGTGAAAATGTAAAGACGTTTGATGTAGGTTTCACCAATTGCTTGAGCATTAGTCAAAATTTATATGTCATATAATATAAATCTGCAGGAAGCTATTTTTTTTTTGTTTGTTTGTTTTAAAGCAAAATTTAACTGCAGCATCTCACGTAAAAGGATTTGCAGCTCTTTGTGTTTTGTGATAATTGGCTATAATGTGCATCTTTCACTGAATTTGTAGACTTAGACTTAGAATAGTAATCAGGATAATATATTAGCAGAGTATAAAATAATAGAGAAGTAAGTCCCCTTTCAGGTTGTTAGCAATCATTGGTTTCCTAACACAGCGGTCCCCAACCTTTTTTGCGCCACAGACCGGTTTATGCCCGACAATATTTTCACAGACCGGCCTTTAAGGTGTCGCGGATAAATGCAATGCAGGAAAACCGAGTTAACGATAAAAACGATAACAAAATAACGCTGAA